CTTTGGCTCTGAGTGAGAAAAGCCAAGGAACATAAATCAGTTTTACTTGTGAACACATGAAATAAAATCTCAAAAAATACAAAATGTCACAATCATCAAAGAAAGCTCATACCCCCTAGAGAATTAATAGGAACTTTATTAAAAAACGCTATACTGCTCTTGTGTGGATGGACACAATTTCCTATTTGACAACAAAACTTTGTTTTGAATACCAAACAAACACAGAAAATTTCTCATTACTTTTCTACCACATTTTCTTTTGCACACTCAAAAACTTACTACGCTTAATCTTACCTAAATTTGGCCATGATACTAATAACATTTCATCATGAAATAATGAACTGTGGTATGACAAAGAACCAAATACTGCGCGACAGCGCTCCGATGCCGCCAAGTCACCGCTGGTGGGGAGGGAGGGGCGTCATCCACAGTAGAACACATCACAATATTATAGTTAATACATCATTTATTCCACTTAATGTTACTATAATGATGCTGAAACATATAAGATCTTGAATTTTCTAGTTGTTTCAAATGTGACTTTTGACTAAGAGAAACTAAAGAGGTATCACTCTTCTATATACTGTAACAATATGAAAGAGACAATAAGATAGCTCACTTCCACAGCTTCATAAGAAATGCTACAGCATTTAGTTCTTTGACAATCACAGTTATTTATCTGAAGCATTTCCTGGTTCACTCTCCAAAGAGACATCCTAACAAGATTTATATATAAGAAAAGAAAAAAAAACATGTACATACCTTGTTTAGAGTCCAGTGCCAATTAGGGTACTTCTCCCTCTACTGTGATCATTCCTACTTAACGTTTGTTACACATGACTGACACTTAAACTTGGCAATATGCACACTGTTCATAATTAAAATACCAAATCTCATTTCTCTCAGACAATTGATCACTCCACACTTAAGAGAGATATTAGCTTAAAAAAATCATAAGTACTAGGATGCAATAAATTTTAAAATGTTTGAAATATAGAAGACATTCTTACCCATTCCAGCACAACAAGAAAAAGTACATATTCTTCATTATATCCGGCCAAATTTCTTAACCTAGAAGCAACATGCCTGCAATGGATTGAAGTAGTTCTGTCTCATAAAATACAGCTACAATTACTCAACTGATGATGTACTGCCAGCTGCACCTTAAAAAAAGTTCTAGTTGTGAAGAAATAATCACTTGTCACTTCAAGGTTAGTTTGGTTTATTTGACACTTTCCACTGACATGATTTTAGCACCAAATAACAGGATGGGAGGGCTATGAATGTTGCATTGGAATGATGTGAAACAATATGATTGCAGTCTAATTAAACTACTATCGCTGGAGTACTGCCCTGAAGAAAAATCACTAAAATCCTCAACCAGGATAGGTGGGTCTCAGGAACAAGATTTGGGCATGAGACTCCTGTATATAACCTCTTCGACTCGATGCATTTCCACATTAAATAGCACAGCTCTGTTTTCATTTTGGAAGATATGAGGGTTGGAACTTTAATAGTGGCAACACTGCTGTAGAGACGCCATGCAATGGAACCAAATAATGTCGCTTATACCACACGTTAGTTACATACCTACCTTACCTCAGAGCAAATGGACTCTCCCTTCCCACATCACACGCATGCGCAGTGACAAGAAGAACACAGCCTCATGTTAGCAGGTGGTCTAATGTAGTGCTATCACGATGTTTTCGAAACAGGAACAATGGAGTTGGATAAATATTGAATGTGCCAGAGGCCGTACAGCACGATAGTGTCATCAAGGTCTTCAAGAGGCTTGCGGGGAATCTGCACTGCCTTACAGAACAGTGGCAAGGTGGGTAAAAGCCTTCAACGAGGGACGCCAAAATGTGGCGTCGGCCAGGTCATCCTAGTGTCAGTGAAGAAGTGTATGCTCTTTCCGCATTACTCGAGAGTGATCAATGCTATACGACTTGTGAGCTGGCGTGAGAGGCAGGATTAGTGCATACGACTGTGCTTCACATTCTGAAGGAACACCTGGGCATGAGAAAAACTGCATCATGATGGGTTCCGCATGATTTGACGGAAATGCAGAAATGGCTACAATACGCTATTCGTAACCACTTCGCGCTATGAGCGCGAATGAGAGGCTTTCTTATGCCATATCATTACGTTGGATGAGACATGGGCCAAATCGTACAAGCCACAAATGAAACGGCAATTGAACGAATGGTGTCATTACGGGTCACCACGAAAATCAGAAGTTCATCAGAACCCCAGCAATGTGAAAGTTATGGTGATTCTCGTGTACGACTGTGATGGTGTTATCCTAACGCATACCACTCCCCGACAGCAAACCGTCAATGCGCAATATTACTGTTTATTTTTAGAACACAACCTGCAACCAGCTTTAAGAAAGAAGCGGCGACACTTTCTGCAGAACCCACTCATCGTGCTCGGCTGCATGCAGCACAAGCTGTGGCTGATTTGTTCGATCGATGGGGCTGGGAAGTGCTGTACCATCCCCCACACTCCCCGGACTTAAGCCCTTGTGACTTCAACTTGATTCCTAAGATGAAGGAACCACTTTGTGGCATTTGCTTCAGAACTGTTCCAGAGATTCTTCAGGCAGCAGACTGCTCAATTCGAACTATCAACACAACAGGCGCTGCTAAAGGTATCCTAAGACTTCCAAATCGCTGGCAATGGGTTGTACACAATGCTGGTGACTACACTGAAGGACAGTAAAATTTTGAAACATGCATCTATTTTGTATCAGCTGTAAATAAATAGTAGTCACCATTAAAGTTCCAACCCTCGTAACTGTGGTCCTTCCATTGCTTTTGCGCATCTCATCAATGATATCTCTTAAAGAGATTACACAGCAGCCTGACTACCATGAAAAACCGCATGGCAAACAAATGTTCATCAATATTTAATAATGTCCAGTTTCTCTTATCAGCGTCATTAACAAATAAACAACCAACTCCATCAAGTGTGATACATGTTATACCACTGCTTTGGCAGTAATATTCCATACCAATAACACAACTTAATGCCAGATATAACCTGCATGATATTCAGTATGGCCTCTGGCCATGGCATCTTTCACAAATATGTATTATATATGTTCAGACACAAGGCAAAGGCCCTGTATGTCTGAATAAATAACAACTTTGTAACAAATGAGTAAAATACTCTCTTCTTTTTTTGACTTTCCTCTGCATCACTCCTAAAATAATCATTGAAATTTAAACATACACATGCTCTTCTGCCCATGGTACTAGCATTTATATTCATCCAAAACTGTAACAACGAAAAATTAAATACATTACCATTTGGTAACTGCTCACTCAGAAAATCAAAACTGGTCATCAAAAGCATTCTTCTGCCCAAATGTAACATACCAACAGCTATTATTCTGTTGACTGGTATACAACTACATGACCATTACCCATTCTTGATAATTTTCATGGCGTCACATTCTGGCTTTAGTTTTAGCTGAATGAATGGCCAGACATATTTTGTAGGTAAGTAAGTGAATGTAATTTATGTCTTTTGAGACAGAAAGAATGTGATTACTAACAGCTTTCCACTTCCTGCATTCTCATAACTTAAAGTTGTGTTCAAAAAAAGATACCCCTGGACATATTTTCGAGACCCATTAATTTAAATTATTCATAATTTGTAATTACATTTATATTTATATAGAACTGGGAATTGTAGTAGTTATTGTTATATTTTTAAAATTCTTAGTGATGTTGTAGGGCAAGTACAGTTTTTGCTTTTAGTCTGATACATTCTAGGATTGTGGAGCTTTTGACAATGATGTATTTGGTGAGTTGACTTGTTCAAGTGTTGCAGTTGTAACAGTATGAATGCAAAATAAATATGAATATGAATATGAATAGAACTTGCATAATATATAATTATTGATAAAAACCCAAAATGAGTTATTCAGAAGCTAAGAGGGCAGAGACAGGGGTCCATTTCTTCTCACTAGTAAATAACTGAAACCTACTTAATTAATTAATTATAGGAAGCAGTTACATTCACCAGTACAGTACCCTCTCATACTATGTAAATTCTGGACTAAAATACACAGACACGATAAAATATTTATCTCATTAAGATCTATTAACTTTTGCCTGTAACATTCTTGGTTTGTACTTTAACAAGATGAATGAAGCCAGTTCTGATTTTCAAGTATACTGAGAGTCCTACTGGTATATTACAACAGAACACAAAATGATTCTTACTCTTTTCTATAAAAAAAAAACTTTACTGCAGAGTTTGTTTCTATTTTGAATGACTGTATCATGCTTTTAAGGAATTTTTATATTGAAAATCAATTTATTTCTTGGGTTCCTACACCTTCACTGTGCATATATACAAAGTTATAAATGTGGAAAAATTAAACCTTCCAAACACCAACTCAAATACACTGTAATGCATAACACTTATTCCAGCTCTCATAAGAAAATAAATCTTACGACAGCATCTGATACAGCTACATTACATCTACCAGTTTCAAAATTTCAGCTTTTATACCTAACAACTCAGACATTAAGGCATTTTAGAATGCGGTGAAAGAAAAAATGGCAACAAATTTCCAATGTGTTCCCTGAACATTTCCTTTGAATTGCTACTTCTGTCGAGCAATTTCAGAAGTAAACAACATAATAAATGAATAACAATTATTAATAATATGAAAATATTTACCTCATTATAATAATGAATGAAAGATAAATGACTACTGATCTTACAAACAAAGCTTATTGGACTGAAAGATTGCTCATGCAAGTTTTCTAGGTGGAACAAAGAATGAAGTACAGCCCAGGTTTATTCAGCATAGGACAATGGACCACTTCTCTTCTTATATATGGCATGTGGTTGCTGCAAATTATCCTAGTATGTTATGAAGACAGAACAATGTACCTTCAAATCATTTACATAATACTATAATACTGCAAAAGTAAGCAGGAAATGCTTCAGATAATCTTGTAAGGAAAACAATCTCTTACCATCAAGGCCATCCAAGGTGTCTTGTGAGGCAGGACCCTGCTCCTGGTCACTAGCATCCATGGAACCTGACCCATGAAGAGAGTTCATATCACCTGGGTTCAGGATACCAACCCCAGCCTGTAAATTGACATACCAATGAAACTGCAGAAGAAGAAAGAAACCTTTGTTACCGAATATATCAAATCACGGGCCCTCGGTTTCATATGTGATACAGTCCTACAATTAGGATTATTGGGAAAATTTATCTAATGATTATTCAAAACTTTGTGTTTGATGTCAAATGAATGAATGAATGAATGTACAAGGGCCCTCTCGGCCCTTGCACCGCGACCTACAGTGACCTATGGTGCTTCCCCTTTTGATTATCCCCTCAGCAATCCTGCGCTTCGAATAAAGCACAGGATTTTGTACATGGGGGCGTCGAAATAGTCACTTGGATCCATTAAAGTATTGACCCAAGTGACGTACTCTTAAATAAGCTAAGGCCTCACATTCACACAGGATGTGTGTGGCTGTTTCATTTTCTTCTTGACACCTCTCACTGTGTTTGATGTTAATACTACACTTGTTGGTGGTAGTAGTGCTGCTGCTGCTATTATGAGCAAGATTACAACTTCTAGTGATCACGTGTGCATTAGTTTATATGATCCGTAGCATATATGCTGTACTTCTGTGATGATTCATATCAATACAGCAGTACCACCAGCACAAAGAAATGCATATCCTATTATTGTAAATCTATCCCTGTAATAGGCCATGAAGGACCACAGGACTGTGAGACATCGAGGCTCCCACATCTTCTCTAGACAGTCAGCTCACAGATAGGGGTAGGCTGTCAGCCTTACACTCTGGCCACCCTTTACCCCCCAGGAAGATTCCTGGTACTCATTTCTGTAAGAGGCTGAGTCAACCCCATGGCCATAATACTGTCATGTAGATCATATATAGGGTTTGGATTGGTGAATGCATTTATTGATCACTTATAGGTTGTTAACTACAAATAACTATAACATTATTGCAACTTCCACATCTTACAGTTCATTAAAGCACACAGTCTAGTGTTCTTAGTCTGTTACTAGGGGTTTGCTGGTAACAGCTCCAACAACAGCTATTACTCTGCCTCCAGCTCAAGTCCTGTCTTCACAGACTCCCATACAGAACTGATTATCAATTGAGTCTAAGTCTTATGTTATGACCAATGGTCAGTCAGCCAGTCTCTCTTGGAATAAAGCACCCATCTGAGGCTTATGACCAGATTTTTATTATTGTTAGACAGTTGTGGGTTTGTTGATGTGGAGCGCTTACTCTGAGGAGAGGATGGGCATGTTATTTACAATTCCTGCTGGTCCTTTCCAGCGCAGTCATTCTCAGGTTTGAGTCCCATGGGATTCGAGACTTCCCTTTTTCTCACCTCCTACAACTTAAAAGGTGGAGGTATCTGACCCCGCCTGCACAAGGGCTTAACCTAACTAATAACTGACTTTTCCCCTTTCTTATAATAAATTGCCACAGACAACACAGAAAATCCAGTTCTTCTATTGTTGCATGTGTGTATGTTGCAGGCATTACCTAGCAATGGCTGCTGTTTAAAGAGTCACTGCTTTGAAACAGGTCTATATGCCACAATACTAATGTTTGAGGCAAGAAATATGAAGATCAGTGTCACCACAACTGTAAGACGAAAACTGCAAACTGGCCTGGAAGTTCTGTTTGAAATTTTGGAACATCTAAACAACTTACATGCAATTCTTCAGGGAAAACACCTCTTTATAAACAAAACTGCGAAGACTCCTGGTGCAGCTGATAAGTACAGAAAAATTCTTAACAACCTGCACTGAGAGTTCTGCAGACAATCTGCATAGTTCAGAGAAATACAAAACTAAATCCAACTGCTGACTTCTCCTTTCTCATCTGATTCTGTAAAGACTCCTGATACTCTTCATGTGGAACTTGGTAACTTTCAGAGTGATAAAGGATGGAAAGTAAAAAAAAAAAAAAAAGTAAAAGTAAAGCGATCCCTGTACCAGGCCGTGAAGTGAGACGTTGAGGGACCCACATTATCCAGACAATTGGCTCAAAGATGGCAGTAAGGTTGTCAGCCTTACTGACCGGCCGCGCTTCACTCCACAGGAAAATTATTATTTAATTCCTGGAACTCATTTCTGTTAGAGGCTGAGTAAACCCCAGGGCCTAGTGCAGCTGGAAGGATTAGGTTGACTGAAAAAAATCCAATGACCTCATCAGGATTTGAACCCGCGACCTTCCGGCTTGTAGCATAGTACCTCAACCACTACGATACCACGTGCCCCCCAAAGGATGGAAAGAGAAGTTCAATTCTGTGAAGGGTGCCAATTTCTTTTAATGTTCTGCAATTCCAAACATATTCTGAGTAGAAAACCCTACAGAAGAGAAGTTCTGTGCATTCAACAAGATCTCCACTACATATTCTGGTTCCCCTAGTATACTGACAATAGGATCAAGCAAAATTTTAATAATGATGTAATGACCTTCATCACTGTCTAAGAATGACACAGCCTCAAACATGGTTCTGACGTACTACATAAATTTTCACATCCCCATTCAACAGTAAATAAACATTTCCACTAATGAAGCTGAACAAACCAGATTTACGCATACATGAAAACTTGTCTGGAACTGTACACAGCACCATGTCCATTAATTTGGTGAGCACTGACAATAAGTCATATAATTTACACAGCTATCTGATTCTTTATTTTGAAAGTGCTTAAAAATATTAGTCTCCACAATGGCATAACATGACTTCTTACTGGCATGGCAACACATGTCCACTTATCATTTATCCCTTCAACCAAAAGCTGGTGCACCTCCACCTTCCACACAACAGTGAAGGGAAAAGTCGTATTTCCCTTGCAAGGCTCTTACCCTTGGCTGTGCAGTCTGTAGTCACATTACTCCTTGTCCTCATCAGCAAATACAAGGTGATTCAAATATGACCAGGACTGATTTTTTTTGTAAACAAGCCGCATGGCGCAGCAGCTGTGCGACCTTGAGAGAGTAAAGCCACAACCTTCACCCTCCCTCCTGTTAGGGTTAGAACCTGTTCAGTCCTGTCTGGAAGTTGCTAGAGTGATGAGAGAACAGAAGGTAAAGCGGAGCGTGGAACAACGCATTGTGATCAAATTCCTCGTTGGAGAAAACGTCCCGTCCGCTGAAATTCACCACAGACTCAAACAACAGGATGGGGAAGAGTGTCTCTCATGGACCCATGTGTTTGAGTGGTGTAAGTGCTTCAGAGAGGGCAGAGTGCGCGTGGAGAATGAACCGCATGATCGTTGGCCGCCAACATCCATCACCGAGCCGAACATTGATTGTGCAGACGTGCTTATTCGTGAGAATAGGTGCATCACTATCAAGGAACTTGGAGTAAGATCCGATCCAAGCAGAAGACAGGTGGAAAGCGGATAGCCTTCCTTCAAGACAATGCACGCCCCCATACGGCAAAAACAACAATGGAAACCCTTCGGAAATTGAAATGGAACCTTCTGACACATCCGCCGCACAGTCCCGATTTGGCCCCAAGTGATTTCTACCTGTTCGGAAGGCTCAAATCAGACTTGCAAGACATGTGGTTTGTGGATAACAACGCCGTCATCCAGATGGTTCGGGAGTGGATACGCCGCCAGCCACAAGTCTTTTGGGGGGGGGGGAATCAGGATGCTTCCAGAAAGTTGGAAAAAATGTGTTGATTCCGGAGGGGAGTATGTTGAAGACTGACATGTGCAAGTAAGTGTTTGGCAATTATGTTTTTTTTAAATCAGTCCCGGTCATATCTGAACCACCTAGTATTAATAAATCCTGTCCTTTTAACACCATATACACCAGCAGTTTCCATGATATGACACATGGCATGGTGCAGTAGCCTCAGGTGGTATATTCATATCATATTTCATAAAAATATTGATTTGGTTCAACACCATGAGTGTTGGCAAGGTATCTGTTGTAGCCACCCCAAATTAAAAAAAAATCACAATTGAAGAAAAGACATATCAAATATTGACAATACAAATTTAAATATATTTAAAAAATCATTCAATCCTGAATATTCTTACCAGTATTAGCAAAAACAGTCTTTAACGGCGTAAATGTAAGTTTGTAAGCACACATTTTGCCTGCCCTCCAGAAAGAAATCTTAGCACCACCCAAGTTCAAGAGTTCTGATCAAAATGATAAAATGATATCACACACCACAAGTATTATTTTTGTAAGCAGGTGAAAACAGTATCCAAATTTCATGATATAACTTAGCAACAAAGCTTTTGATTTATTAATTAAACAGCATGCTACATATCTTTATAACATAAGCATATGAGGAAATATTTAATATTTCATAAAATACATACTATACTTGACTTCTACAGTTAAATATGATACAATGATCACTGTTAACATTTTGATTGATGCAATATACAACATCTCTTAAGTGAGAGCAAGATTACAAGATGATGAAAGCAAGAGACACAACATTCATGGTGCAAATCTACTTCCAGAAATGAGATGCTCCATATCTGAATTTGAATGGAAAGTAAAGCATGGTGCATGGCAAAGATTTTTACTTCCCTGTGCAATCAAATCTCTATTACACACAAGAAATTACTGTATCATCTCACTAAATGCAATATATTAAATTTGACTGGAATTAAGATGTACTTTCCACACACCCTATCACCCAACCAAGCAATATGTGCACAATATCTTAATGAATTAGACAATTTTTGAGGTGTTTTAAGTTCCTATCAATAAACACTAATGTGTATGAATTAACGTTTCAACAGTTCACTTCAATTTTAAAGAAACACCATACTGTCAGCCTGCTCGCACTTCCATTCAACAATTAATGGTACTGACTCTTAATGGACTCAGGCAAAGATAAGAAATCTTGTATGTACAGTGTATCTTATTGGTGTCTAGACAAGTAGGGTCTCAAATTCTCTCCAAATCTTAATAGCAACCTGTGGCACATAGTTACATAAATGTGGTGCTTCTAACACAGTCATGAACAATCACATCCTTAGTGAAGGAAATGCCATTACCTAATTCCTGACCATTATATCAGCACAAAAGGAAATTTTAGTAAC